GGGGCCTACGCAAATATATATATATATATATATATATATATATATATATATATATATATATATATATATATATATATATATATATATATATATATAATTGCGTAGGCCCCTTCAGCGACGGCGCGTGTGGAGGTTGGGAGAATGCACACACTTACACATTGGACGATAGAAGTGTCAGCCCTACTGAACCAATACTTTGGGGGAAATAAAGAACAGTGGATTGATATGTTCCTGTAACATCAAATTTCACAAAAAGACCGACAATACAATTCCATGGTACAGCGGTTTTATACTCATTAGTCACATTACATTATAACTTTGATTACTCTGAATCAGGGGGTGACACTTCTATTGTCCAGTGCATGTGTATCCGTCCAAGAAGTTTGTAAAAGTCCGCCAAATGGCATGTAGTAATGCATAACACCGAACTGCTGTATAGCTATATAGCACAGAAGACAGAAACAATCGGTTGAAATGCCGTTTTTTTTTTTTTTTTTTTTTTTTTTTTTTTTTTTTTTTTTTTTTTAGTATGAGACGATGCCCTTTGGCATTTCTTTAAGATTTGCTACATGAAAATATATGATGGCATTTGGTCGGATATTGAGGCAAAGGTTTGACATCTTATATATTACATAACATACCCTGTACATGTACAGGGTATCTTATATATTACATAACATACCCTGTACATGTACAGGGTTTTAGACTGGAAGTCGGGATACATGAACAAGATAACACTTGCGAGTTTCTTCTTTCTAGCAGGGTCATCTTTCTCTACATAGTCCACGTGGAACGTCTTGAAATAAGTAAAGATTGACCATATTTAAATAAAATTGGGCGGCTATAAAACATGAACCAGACACGTTAATCCCTGCTATGTTTGGCTTTAAAACTAAATGTTTTCCTCAAAAAGCCAAAAAAAAAATCGATGATAGATCGGAGGTTTGTCCTATATCACCTCTTCGTATAAAAATCTCGGCACGGCAAACAGATTTATAAGAGCCAATCCCATTAGAACACTGCTTTAAATTACAACTTCGTAAAGAATGGGCCTCATAGTCATCTGATCAATACCCATTACTGCTACAAGAGGACAAGTGTTTGCCATATTAGTTCCAATGCGATTTACTTAATTGCACTCACCTGCTACCGATCTGGGCATTAAATAAACACCTGGCTGGAAGTACTGGTCGTCCATCAGCGCCGGGTTTTATACAAATCAATATCAACGTACTTAACATAGGGGTCTGTTTCACAAAAATAATGTAAGAGCGAGAGTTGGTTTTGAACTTTTGTCTACTCTAAACCGAGTTTGAATATAAGCAATCGCCCAATAAAACGCCTGTCGCTGCTGTTTTATTACAATTGGATTTTAACCACCGTTGAGAGCAACAGTGGCTTTCATTAGTAGACAAAAGCAACTTTATCCCTAGACTGAAGTCGACTGGAATAAAGGTCTGAAAATTGAGAACAGCTTTTGGTCCTATGGTTTATTGAAAAATCGACCCAGAGATGCCTGAATACCGGTATTACTACGGTACATTCGGGCATATTCCCACGCTCTTGGATCACCCATAAAGGAGTTCTCAGTATTTTACTAAGAGGGATAACAACTCTTTGTACAGTGTATGAGATCCATATTTCACAATAAATACATTGTAAATAAGTCATAAAAATATACCAAATTAATTAAAAAAAACGGAAATTTTCGGAAGACATGTTTCTTTTATCAAACTACCAGCATTAACATACGACAAAAGTATAAAACTGCAATTACTTCGCTATAGCGGACAGATATACTTTGGAGAATCCAAGCGATGTGTCAGCTGAGACGATTTTATAAAAGGGTGTATCGTCTTCCTCAAGTTGGAGCCAGCTCATTGTTTGGAACAGCAAAAGCAAAGCTGTTTTGGAAAAAATCTTTCTTGGTCACGTGAAACTCCGCTCAGCCAATCAATACCGAGGATATTGCTGGAAGCTATTTTTCTCTGTGGTTAGTTTGAGAGAAGCTGTCATACTTAGGCAACATTCACAGAAGTTACGTATACCGGCTTCCTTGTGGCGGATGGCGTTAACATTTCAACCAATCATACTTTACAAGCTCTCTCTGTAAAGGTTTATTACCTGAAACAATAAAATGCACGTTTTGTTTGTGAATATATCTGAAGAGAACCACATGTACACTGAAGAAAAAACAGTTTCTTACTACCAAAAATTGAGAACGAAACTGAAATATCTTAAAGGTGTCAATTTCATTAAAAATGAACACATAACAAAACCAATCTTTCATTAATTATTACCTACCCCCAGTATATACTTACCCATACAGCATACAAAGAAGCACTGCTTTAGCTCATAAGCAGGTTTTTGGCACGTCTTACCGCCATATTGGGGCGGCGGGCTGTTACAGATCCTAATCCGCATTGCGTGGCACGTGGTCTGGTCACAGCTAGACCATCCTGTCCAGTGGCTCCACCCACCGTCAACTGGAAATATATAAAATAACATGTGTAATATTAAAGTTTCTCATGTACTTTCAATATAATAATTCAAGTTTCTTAGGGGCCATGCACAATGATTTATGTCGACCTACAGCTAAGGAGCACTAGTACTACTAGAAACTCCAATGGAGGCTCTCCCTTAATGAAATAGGAAAAACAGGCCTCTTGTCTCCAACGTACTTGTAGAATTACCCGCTTTTTCTATATTTTATTCAACGCCAGGGGAGGTGTGTTAGACAGCCTTGTAATCTGATTCTATTCAGCGGAGTCCCCGTGGAGTTAGTGCGCCTTATCTAGGTCGACCCAATTCATTGTGAACGGTCCCTTAGTGAACAGCTAGTGAAATACCCTAGATGATGCATTTACAGTATTTAAGTTATATTTCTTCTGCTTACTTCCCTGATTATTTCACCTTAACTTCATGAATAAGGCTGAGTGAAAAGTCAGAAAAAAACAACAACATTGTTTTCACTATTTTGTCGCAGTGGATAATTTCATGTATAGTGCAATATTGATAAACAGACAAACAATGGCTAAGGGGTAGATACAGCAGAATCCATTCTATGGAAAACGAATTACTTTTATATCCCTGTTTTCGTCAAAAGTAGAAACTGTGTATATTCTACAGCTTAAAGGTACATACGAACCGAGCATCGGTGGAGCGTGGATTCCCATTAACACATGTAAACCACTTCTACTAGTTTTTTATACGACTCAAATAAATTCGCCATGCCCAGGGATAAACTCAATAGATCACTCGATCAGCCATAAAAGAGCTTTAGACTGCTCCTTTCTTTAAATTTTTGGTTGTAAATTTAACCTACTTTCGTGACCTACTTTTCTGCCCCATTGACATACAGCATAGAATGCTGGCAGCAAAATCCATTCAAACATTATTTTCGGGTAAAATAAAACAATGCCTTTTGGTAATTCTCTTAGTTATACTACTTGAAACTATGTGCTGGCATTTGGTTGGTTTTTGTGACAAAAATTGACTTTGTATGCATCTTTTGAAAAAGGCAAATTGGGAACTTGTCCTTAATATGACAGTTCAATTGCCTACTTGGACATGGTTGTGTATTGCACGCTTCGGTTTCAGTATTGGCACCAGAATTCGATCCGGGGCAAATGGCTCCGCCGTTAGATGGCGCTGGATTATTACACTCCCGAGTTCTCGTTCTCCGCCCTCCCCCACAGGTGGCGCTACATGAAGACCACGTGCAGCACCAATCTCCCCATTGGCCATCCACTGTAATAATGCAAAAACTGTAATTGTGTAATTTCATCAAACATTGTAAAACAGTGTACGGTTTCCTTAATGGTAAGTTAGGCAAAATTGTTCTTAAACTCGGTAGTTGGATCATAGATGATAACTATTTATCACATGCTGAAGAGTATACAGTACGTGCATTATAGAGGTATGTAGTAGCATATATGTACATGTACATTTCTAATATTACTGGTACTAGTAATTAATTTCTACAAAATGGCGGATATGTTTGCAAACTATAAAATAAAATTTAAAAAAGATAACATACAATTAACATAGATATCTGAAAAAAAACACTCACCTGGACAGGCTGGTAAGCCACAATCCCTTATTTCCGTAGTTTCGAATCCCTCGCAGAGTTTTCCGGAACCTGCTGGTGCGGGATTGCTACAAGTGCGGGAGCGCATCTGGATGGCATTTCCGCAGGTTTTTGAGCATTTACTGTATTCAGTCCACTCACCCCACTTTCCGTCAACTAAAATATGTTGTTTATGTTTAGTTTTCTTAAAACATCCGTCCTTTTAATGAGGAATGTTAAATAACTGATGTCGTAACGCAGGTGGTAGTTGCATGGTGGTAATAACACACAAATTATAGGCTTGATAACATTATTTACCTGGTACTGAGAAGATCCACACCTCTATACACCATTTATACTCTATTTATATGACATACACGTGTGTAGTTTACGTGATAGTCACTCGAATGGGTCTCGCAGTGTATTTGAAATAGCGTCATTAATGGCCCATGGCCATTCTCACCTGGACAGACCTCCCTGTTGCATTGCCGGACGTCCACTTTAGGGTCACAGCCTTTGTTGTAGCACCTCTGGACGCGCACGCGGGTCTGCACCCCTCCGCCACAAGAAACGTCGCACTCGGACCACTGTGACCATTTCTCTCTGACTGAAGGACCAAGTGAAAAAATAGCTGTACTGATTATTAGGAGGACATCGGGCGGCAAGTTTTAAACTGACCCAACCTGAAGCGGTGTGACAGGAATGGAAAGGAGAGGAGGTCTTAGGTTTCATGCGGCTAATTAACATACAGGTTACAGGGTTAGTCGGAAGTATTGGTCTCCGTATATGGGACGAACATCACCTGTATAAAGCAAGGGGAAAGGGATTTCGGTTTCTTACGGATTACAATTCTTTGCACACTGCTTCGTATTGAGAGATTGACAGCTAAGTCTGACTATGACGTAAGAGAGAGTCACCTAAACGTAGCCTACGAGTTTAACACATTCAGTAAATTAATTTAACAGCAGGAAGCAAACCTATGGAGAACTTGTTGATGGTGTTTAAAAAAGCTCGTAACGTAATCCTACGTTATTTTGGGAAAGGCTTAATTGCCCCTCCATTCATTCCGCATGCTTTAAGATGCACGGGTATATACCTCCTCCCTATATAATATGTAATTGACTACCAGTAAACGATATCTGGTTGAATAAAGTGCTTAGTGTACATGAAAAAGTGTCATTTGTTGCAAAAGCAATCAGTGCTCCCTTTCAAATCATTACATTCTTACAGGTATGTCACAGCAATTCAAGAACCATGTTTCAGTCAATGCTTCGGTTTCTGACAAAAGATACCAAGTTACGTGTGAAATATATAATACACATTTAACATTTGACACTTTTGATTTACCTTCAGAGGTAGATGGGGGCGTCGTAAGCTTTAAGACTTTTATAGTAGTTGGCGAAGATGTCGTTGAGGCAGCTGTCGAAAACATTTTGGTTGATGATGATGATGTTGTTGCACTTATTTGTTTTGTTGTGGATGGCGTTGTAACTGTTGTTTTGGCTGTAGGGGTTGTTGAGGTCATGCGTATTGTAGTTGTAGGGGTGGTAGAAGTCTTTTGTATTGTAGTTGTAGGGGTGGTAGAAGTCTTATGTATTGTAGTTGTAGGGGTTGTTGAGGTCATATGTATTGTAGTTGTAGGGGTAGTAGAAGTCATATGTATTGTAGTTGTAGGGGTAGTAGAAGTCATATGTATTGTAGTTGTAGGGGTTGTTGAAGTCATATGTATTGTAGATGTAGGGGTAGTAGAAGTCATATGTATTGTAGTTGTAGGTGTTGTTGAAGTCATATGTATTGTAGTTATAGGGGTTGTTGTAATCGTAGTGGGTGTAGTTGTCGTAGTGGGTGTTGTAGCTGTAGTAGTCGTAGTGGGTGTAGAAGTCGTAGTGGGTGTAGTAGTTGTAGTAGTCGTACTGGGTGTAGTAGTCGTACTGGGTGTAGTAGTAGTTGTAGTAATCGTGCTGGGTGTAGTAGTTGTAGTGGGTGTAGTAGTCGTAGTGGGTGTAGTAGTTGTAGTAGTCGTACTTGGTGTAGTAGTTGTAGTGGGTGTAGTAGTTGTAGTAGTCGTACTTGGTGTAGTAGTAGTAGTGGGTGTAGTAGTTGTAGTGGGTGTAGTAGTAGTTGTAGTAGTAGTCGTTGTTGTTGTTGTAGTCGTAGTCGTAGTCGCTGCTACACATGCCCTTACACCGATGGTGTCCACAATATCACTCAGCTTGCTGGTGTCTGCAGCCATAAATACATGTGCTTCGGTGTTTTGCGCTATTAGAAGCAGCTCGTCCTTGTCTATCATAGGTCCAGCACCTACAGCCATTGTTCGGATGCCAGCATTTATAACAGTTGGCATTGCTTGCGCAACAGTTGTGGAGCCTAGATTAAAACAAATGTCCAAGGAAAATAATTTTGCGTTGACCATCTCAATATTTGATAGCTTATTCACTTGCTTCACGATAAAAAAGCGTATAGGATTCAAATCGGCGCAGCTTTCGCCATGAACTCATGACATCTTGTACAGCATGCAGCATATATGCATGCATCTAACATCTGTCAAAAGCAAAATATGTTTTGTCTTTAGAAGCCTCTTTGTCTCTTCTCTCGTTTACAAAGATCACTTTATAGTCGAGCAAATAAAAAATTTAAAGTTTTCTTCGCTTGGCCTGACCATACGTACTCCTTACCTCTTCTCTTAGTACTCACGCCGTCCGTCAGAACCAAAATCAACTTTTGTATCTCGAATCCCCTTCGTCTCTCTTCGCGTATCAGAAGATCGCGGCATCGAATAATGGCCTCCCCAGTTAACGTCTGCCCGCCAGTATGCCGCATATTTCTCAGCCGGTAAAGGATGAACGGAATAGTCTGGTGGTCCGTAAACCGTATGGGGAATTCGAACTTAGTCCCGAACGTAATGGCGGAGTAATGCACCCGGACGTTCTTGCCAAAACTGGCGATGGTTTCGACCAGAGTTATGACGAAGTCTTGCTCGTTTTTCCATCCCGTTTTGCCGTTTGGGGTGACCTGGTTTAGAGAGCTGGAGGCATCGATAGCCAGGCATATGTCCACTGTGCAATCTGGAATTAAAGAATACTATTTGCTTTTGTAAATGTTCTAAAGTCCTAAATATTTTGTTACCCCAAGGTTATCACCTGCTCTTCAACTAAGGCCCTAATGGCAAGGTCGGATAGACCAAGATCCTCCTTCGCCCGATCTTACTCTGTTTGACTAACATGCATTTTCTTTCAGATTTACAAGGAGCATGGGTGTAGGGGATTATTTTAAAGTGGAGGCCATGTATATGATTCATTATTAAATCTAAAACTCGACTTGCATTTTTGTCTCACTGCTATGAGACATCTGCAAGTTTATTGAGGATACAGAGGAACTATGTAAGATGGGAAGCATGCAGTTTATTGTTTGGAATTCTAATGGATTGTCACTAGTCCCGTTACTTTTCAGACACGCCTGCAGTGGTGCATGCTGCGAAATGGCCATTTCTAGTTCATTCACACGAATAATTTAAGAGTGCAGCATCACTTTAATTGCGACACAATAATTTAGAAGTACGGACAGCTCCCTAAAGACTATGCTTGTCTCGCATAAGACCTAACCCAAAGTTAAAAGGCCTATTTTGTACAGGTCTGCGAGTTGATTGCAGTAGGACTGAGACCACTAAGTAAAAAAAAAAAAAACAAAAAAAACGATATTTCTTAAAACTGTACCGTTTGTTGCTCAAGACACAGCGGACTTTCTGAAGAAGAAGAAGAAGATAATTCTGTACGTGTATATGCGTCCAAGGGGTACCCCACTATCAGTCATAATATATTTTTTCTAGCAAAGACACGAACTTTGGTAATCATGGTAGATAAAGATATTTAAGCTTATGTGTTTAGTGTGTGAGTTTAATTACCAGTTATTTTACAGCTGAGATTAAAAAATTTATATATATCTTTTTCTTATACTGTTATCCTGTAATCAGGAAATGGTCACAAACGCGGTATGGTACATGTAGTGGCTACATAAGGACCAGTAGATTAATAGCATGTTGAGAAGAACTGGCATACACTGGCATCACTTCATGAGTCCACCAACAGAGCTAACAACATTCTATATACTACAGTGTGTGAAGCATCTTGATAGCCATTAGTATTCGTTAGCAACCAACATTCATTAGCATATATTACTCACTGGAGAGCTTTGACCGCAGCAGTGCACTCTCGGCGGCCTGGGCTTCTACGCGAACCAACAAGACCATGAACAGGAGGGAGAAAACGGCGAGACTCTTGGCAGCCATTTTCGGTTGTGAAATATGAAAGTCAGTGCTGATGATTAAGGAAATGCGAATGCGGTAAAAGGACATATTTTGCTTCGCTGGCGCGAGACGAAAGTGCGTGGTTTGATTGTGAAATAATGGGGCGTTTATGAGGTCAGAGCTCCCACTTTTGCTTGCACACTGCGGGGATAAATCCAATGTCTAACTCATGTGACATAACAGCAAGCCATTAAAATTTTGCAATAACTACTAGTACATGTGAATATTCATTTAACATATCTGAGCATTGCGATTGTTTGGTGTTACTTTTTTTTTATGGATCGTTCCGATTTATATTTATTGAAATTCTATTCCTTTTATATATGAGATCATTATCGTCTGTGATCTGAGCTCTCGGCCAAGTGTAAATTAAACGTTTATTAGGTCCTACTGGTTTGTTTCAAAGGGACATTTCGCATTGATTTTATTTACCTTGTCTTAAGCATTTATTAGGTATTTCCAGTTTGTTTGAAAGGGACATTTAGGATTGGTTTTATTTACCTCGCTCCTTATTACCTTTAGTTTACAACTTCTGTTATAATAAGATAGGTGTTTGTACAAGAGGGTCCAGCTTTAATTGCACTTTTATCTCATCGTGTGGTTTACTCTCTTTCATATATAGTAGTAAGAGAGATGTTACGAACACGATAAATATTGTTGAATGTCCCCAAAACGACCGAAATAATACATGTAATGCCAATTAAAAGCAACTTGAACACAAATTAAATCCATTAAGTAACGTCTTGCATAATAGGTGAGGTTTTTAGCAAAATAAAAAAATGACAAAATCATTGCGGTTGTAGGAAAGTGCAGTCGACGTGTTTATAAACATTGCATTCCCTCTACATCAAGTCAATTCATCTTGGGCTTTGGTGTTGGTAAATGGCAGGGCGTTACACATATATAGACCCTTAATGGTATTCAAATGCCTATCGAAACGAGAAGAAAGGGTGACAATTTTGACTTTATCCACTTGATGACATACGTCGCACATTCCTTGTTTTTATGGTACCATAATGTAGGTTTTATTACCAAAAAGAATCCGTCGCGCACAGGAAGTGGTATGTTAATCATGTGACCTTGCCATGTGATTATCCCCTACTCGTACTGATACGCACCCAGTATGAACATCCGTAGTTGGATTGATATTGGCTAGAAAATGCCCCGTCCTTGTTTTTTACACGAATAGATCGACACAATTAGATGCGCGACGTTTTAGGAATATTGTGATAATACAAAAGCAGCTTTCTTTATTCAAGACTACACTTTGTGAAGGAGGCATATTTAATAGATATACGGTTTGTCCCGCCAAGTACTAGGCCCGAATATGTTTTATTTACCGGCGTCTAGTATGGGGAAATTATTCAAAATTGACACCCATTACTTATTTTATGCTCAAGCTGTGGAAAAGTGGATGGAGAGCATTTTGTTACACACATTGCGTCTATCAGAACGTTAAAGGACATTGCCGCTTAATGTCTTTCTTAATTTCAGTGTTAAGTATTTTTATAAATACAAATAGGATACAACTTCCAAAGTATAAAAATACATTGAAAGTGATATATTGACAGCTGTATAGTTGTTGCGTGGTATTATAGCATCGAATAACGTTGTCTAAGATGTTGTGGTAACATCTATGTCAGTATTAGTTCTCTCACGATTTAATGTTTAATTTACATTACTTATCATGGAACAGATTTGTAAAATCACAAGCACGCAATAGCCTCTTCAACGAATCCGCAAACATCAGTACGTTTAAAATGACACAATTTACATGAAAAGACATAAAGTGACGCCAGGCGCCATGACATACAATGTACTAATAACCAAAGTCTTCACCTCATCAAAATTATTTGACTATATTTAGTGTTTGAAATATAAAATTACAAAACGTACAAGCCAGTGAAATGCACATGCATGTTTTTACACGTTCATGTAAAAATGTCTTAATATGTATTTTCCATAGCACATTCTCTTAAATGAATAAATGTACTTGCAAATCGAGCGTAAATGGACCTTTAATCCTGAAGCAGAAATGGGTATATAATTTAGTGCAATATACCCTGCAACTAATATGGGTGACGCCCAAATGATGCGGCCCCGCCTTTCCCCAGAGCTGCATGCATTACAGTGTTCATGGTGACAGATATGGTTCATATGTGATAAGGCCATGTGTACCGGTACATTTAGAACACTGGGAAAAGAGGGAGGGAAATTGAACGTTGAGTACACGTAAATGTATGCGTGGTGCTGTAAACCACGTTTGCTGATACACCGGCCTAACCAGTGGAAGTGTAAACTCATACATCACATAACGATGAAAATTGTCAGTTTTTTTTTTTTTTTCATTTCAACAGAAAGGGGACGCACGTGAACACAGAAGAATCAGTCTGCTAAAAAAAATTTAAGACATTTGCGCTGTAACTAGATGGCCGATTTTCAAAAACATCAACAAGTAAAAAAAGGGGGGAGGCCACAACTTCTACATATAATTATAGTTTATATTATTAGCATACGGGTAGGTCTTAACTTTTATTCTGCGTATAGGTTCACACAACTATTTATTGCACTTTGTTTGTATTTACAANTACGGGTAGGTCTTAACTTTTATTCTGCGTATAGGTTCACACAACTATTTATTGCACTTTGTTTGTATTTACAACTCACTTTAATAAACTATTTTGGATCGGTTTTTTATCTCTTGGCTTTTCTTTAGCTGTATCGTTTTGGCCAATTGATCATCAATTTTTCAGCGGGTTGGAATCAACGTGAAAACTCTTAATTTTCTGCATTTTACTAATGGTTCTTAAACACGGGAATCACAGGGTTAATACTTAATATGGAATATTATTTTTTGGCGATTAAAATTTTCTACAAAATGTTAATTGATTACAGTAAATCATGACGTTCTTTGCCTGTGTACAGTAGCATATCGCTGTCCGTAGGCTATCATTTTCTTTAATATCTTAGCTTAAATTTAATACTGACATCAAACTGTTGATATTGCTTTCTGGGAGGGGTTGTTCTTTTCTTTTGAATGACATATTATGTCAGATTTGATATTATTGACCAAAATATCTCACAATAGAAGAATGGATATTATTTATTACTCAATTACATATTTTTTGATGAATAAAGCCAAAAAAATTAAACCTGCACTCAAAAATAACAATGATGAAAAAATTCCATATAAAGTATTATCCCTGTATATAAAGTATTATTCCATATAAAGTATTATCCCTGTATTTAGTAGTGTAAGGCAAACTAAAACATTATTGCGTACGGGTAATTTCTGCAAATAAACACATTTGTATCTTTTATACACTTTCAGTCATTTGGTTTTAATATCTTTATTTTCAGAATTTGTGCTCATTTAAATACAAAGTGTTGCAAAATATGTCTAGTCTAATCTTCTTTCGTGTGTTGATTTATAGTGAATAAGAAAAAAACACCGGCAACCAATATGGTTTTAATAGAACATTTAAACAAAACCCACTCCGCAATTACAACCTGGGGAATGCCTTTGATCACCCAATGGTCGAATTCTCCATATACCGGTAACTTTTTTCATTTCAACATGAAAAATATCCTCTTCGATACCCGCCCAAACTGTTGCCATCTGAAAAGTAAATGAAACTGCATAATCTATGCTCTTAATTCCAAAAATGGGTCCTTAAACGTAAATAAGATTGGTTTCAGTGTTCTTGCGTTGTCACAAAAAAATTATAAAATGGATTATAAAATTTATAGTACAGTTATCATGTAAAATATATTTCGGTTTGTATGAAAAAAGAAAATAAGCAAAAGCAAAAAACTCTCCAGAAACAACTCTGCTATAAAAATTTCTGTTAAGTGTATATTAGTAATATATTGCTTGAACAACATCTTGTAGGTAACAACAACAAATAATAATAATAATTGTTGTCGCTTACGACAACAAGTTGTGATTACGGTCGTATTACTAGTCATCTTTGTTTTGTTATGCAAATGATTTGCTCAGTATATATACGGTCAGCAGTAGTTCTGGGCACGGCCACGTTTGTATTTGACGAGCAGAAGGCTCAGGTCGCCAAGTCTCAAGATTTTGTAGTCACTTCGGCAAAATTTGTGGATCACCATCGGGCGGGAAAAGCCACATTTCTCTGTACGTATTGTTAACCATTTGCACAATGTATATGTAAAAGCATAAGTCGTTTTGTCTCGCCAAATTTATAGTATGCACAACATTTCCTGTTTCTTATTATTAATTCATTATTTCTTTTTATATTTGTATTCAGTTTATATTATATTTGTGTATTTTTATACTATCAGTTTGCAGTTTATATTTCATTATTTTGTTATTTTAGTATCACCATGTCTATGTCAGTGTATGTGCGTGAATAAAGGTGTGAACATTTTCCCGTTGTTTTTGTTCGTTTGGTGAGGGATACGCAACAACAATAATAATAATAATAATAATAATAATAATAATAAACATTTGTTTCGTGCGATAAAATATTCAAATGAAAGCAATAAAAACCTTAACTTACATAAGCAGCAGATGAAGCAGTATCTAGATTGATATGCTGGTCCAGGGCACCGCACTGCAGGGAGACTGGTGCACCTGCGATGACGCGTGGAACAACACGTTGCCAGAGAACAAGGTGACCAGGGTGACCAGCTTGACCATTCACTTTGACCTATAAAACAAGGGATCGTGATATTTATTATATTAACTTAGATTTGAGCTACTTGAAGTTGGTATTGCTTTTTTTCTTTTCCATTTATTGAAAGCTTCGCAGTCCCTACGAAATCAAATTGAATACATATGAAAGAAAACATCCTCATAATTGAAGAATCTGGTACAGGATTCACACTCCTGATTTTCTATTATTAATTCCAATCTATTATCATTTTTATAACCATTTTAACGGTTATTTTAAGTAATTTAATCTTACTTCAATAAAGTACTATATTTTATTTGTGTGTTCAATATATGTTTTATATATTCCAAAGAAAGTAAAATAAACCCTTATTATGCCTGTTTATTAAACCACATTTTATCTGGAGAAATATTTCATGAAAGAAAGAGCGAATTGCACAGCAACAACAGCAACAACAACAACAACAATACTGCTTATACTATAACTACCACTACTATTACATGCACTATTACCACTACTACTACTACTACTACTACTACTACTACAACCACCACTTGTATTACTTCTAATACTACTACTACTACTACTACTACTAATAATAATAATAATAATAATAATAATAAATAATAATAAATAATAATAACGGCAATACACATATATTCATTACCTGGGCACTCTCCCCCGGTACACGACCGTGTCTCTGTTTTAGGTTCTGTACAGCGGAGTCCCACCTGAGTCCTGGTCTGCTTACACTCTGCGTCACAGGCCGACCACTCCTTCCATGAACACACTAAACAGGAGTTTGAAAATATTTTATATTTAATATATTCAGTGTGAATTGCTTATTATCATTTTCATTTATTCTTTACATTGTTTTTCCATTTATTTGTTTGTTTGTTGACTTTTGGTTAATTTTACATGTCTATTTTGACGCCTTGGTTGTTTTCATGTTTAAGATTTTGTTTGTATGTTTGCATACTCTCGTTTGTTTACAATGTGTCAGGTAGGATGGAAATAGATAAGGGGCTATTGGTCGAACTCTTTTTTTTTTTTTTCTGCCTGTATGCTTCTCAACCACTCACTTCTAATTCAGCGGCGGATTTAGGGGGGAGGTGTCAGGGTGGTTCCGACACCCCTTCGATTTCTGAAAAAAATCACAGCAACAGTCCCCTCTTGAAATTTAAATTTTGACTAGCTGAATCATAGTTCTAAGCCATTGCAAATGACACAGTTCGCCCTCTAAAATACCCTGGGCCCCAAGGGGGGGAGGGGGTAGGCTTCGCATGCATGCGCAGACCCCCCTTCAAATAATCGTGGATTCACCCCTGTAATCTACAGGTAAATACTCACCGCCTGTGAGCTGAAGCTTCGACTTTGCCAGTTCTAAAGATGGTTGGCCCGTTTTTGACTTCAACAGACTTAACGATGGATTTGTCGTAGTCGTTGGCGTTGTTGTCGTCGTAGTTGTAGTCGTAGGCGTTGTTGTCGTCGTAGTTGTTGTTGTAGTTGTAGTCATAGGCGTTGTTGTCGTAGTTGTTGAGGTTGTCGTCGTTGTTGTTGTCCTTCTGCGTTTGTTTCCCTCTGAAATAAAGGCCGTATATCAGGTCTAAGTTTGACACTGCGTGAGAGCGGAAATCTCCACTCCAGTGTTATTAATAAATAGTCTGTTCCATGCAAATTGAATGACCTACATGTATATATAATGTATATATTGACCCCATGGGTACACATATGTGGTAGGAACGCTCTACCCCTTTTCGAAAGCAAATTACAGAATACAATAATTGCCCTGATGCCGTCTGACTCGAGCCCTTAATGCAGGAATACTTCAATTAAGATGCCCCAAAGAGAAATACATGTAGAGTTTCTGGAAAATAATCTGCATGGAGAGTATGGGTAAATTACCCCCTTATAACCCCCCCCCCCCCCTTAATGCTCTTTCATAATCTGATTATCTATGAACTTTTTACATTGAATTGGTAACTTAAACAGCACCAAACTGT